CAAAATCATTATTTTTCCTCTAACATCATTAAATACCCGCTAAAATCATTATTTTCCCTCTAAAATCATTAAATAAACATTGATATAGTGTTAACAAAAAAAAAAACCACGCACTGATTTTTGTGATGTTTTTCTATTTCCTATTTTTTTAGGTTAACAAAATAATACATGCGGTGGTTTTTGTGATGTTTATTGTGTTACATTTGTTTTCCTTTTCATTTAAACTCTTTTTAGGCAGAAATTTTGAAACATTATATCTGATTTAAAGTGTAGATATTTGATTTTTTTTCCTTTTTTTTGACCGAAGGTGTTTATTAAATTAGCCTTGTAATATTTAGTTATTTTAAACAAATTGTTTACACATTTGTTTTTTTTACTTATTCGTCTATATAACACATATACAAATATACATAATTGATGTTAAATTTAATTATTTGTAGACATGCTTTTTTTTACAAAATAGTCTAGAATTTTTTTTTTTAATTATGTTAAATTTAAATGTTTTTAGATATGTTTTCTTTCTAAAATTGTTTAGAAAAGTTGTAGGTGACTTCATATCTTTTAAAAATAATATAGAAAATTTGAATACTTTTACATATACTAATATAATATTTTAAGTGTTTTTAATATTAAACATACAAATTTTATATTCTATTATACAAAATAATATAAAATTTATATTATCTTTAATATATAATTATTATTTTTTCTTCCTATTTTTAAATAGGATCAATAGTAGTTTCCACTTCTGCCATTGAGCGACTCAAACTCGAGGTATATTGTGCATCACACGGGGTACACACTAGTAATTAATCTAATAATTAATGTAATATTGTTAATTAATGTAGTATTGTTAATAATTAATGTAATATTGTTAATTATCGTTTGAGGGTACGCTTCTTTTTGCTTATTACTTGTTATTTTAAATAACTATGAACTAATTGGTCTTATAATTAATCTAATATCCTAAGAATGTAGAATTTTTTGTTACTTAAATAGGAGACAGAAACCTATTAAAAAAGATATTTAGATAGAATTTAAAGATTTAGAAAATCTAATAACATGGTAAGCTAACCAATTCCTATGTTTCGTAATTTTGTTTTTTTTCACCTACAACGACAATTATTTTAAAACAGATGGAGTATTTTTTTATTAGATTTTTCTATGTGATATATCAGATTGATTATCTCACAACAAGTTTTAATTTGACATCTTTATCGCATATATAAAATTAAAAATAAACATTTCGTGTATAATACATCATATTAATCATATAACGAGTTACAATATTATATCTATATATTGTACATATAAATAAATATGTGTGTTTGCCTTTATAATAATAATTAAATTATATATTTCATCAAAGTCAATCAACTTTGGTGCCCGATATGGTTGTTTTGAACTATTTTACAAAACTTATTGAGGATGGATCAAATTTTATGCAGCCACTTGTGTTTCTTTATTAAAACCAAAATAAATAATATTTGCACGAAAATCTTCCAAATTAATAACAATATTGCTCAAAATGTATTTTTTATTTATTTAAGTGGGTCCCACCAATGAAAATGGGAAAAATTTTATAACTGCCTCTTTTTAACAAAGATTTTTCAAAACAACTTTTATCTATACACAGTTTCCAATTTACTCCAACCAGTAGACATAAACAACCATTCTCTATCATTCTTTCTTCTTTCTCTTCATTGTCTTTCCCACGATAAATTTTTTTCTTCTCTTATTTTTTTTTCCTCCCCTTTTCTTTTCATGTTCTCCTTCTCCAAAATATTTGTTTTGATACATTAACCATAATAAATATTAATTTACACACAGAAAAAAAAGAAGAATATATCGAATAACACAAACAATAATCATTCAGTAAAAAAAGAAGCAAGATACCGAATAATACAAACAATAGCATAATAACATGAAAACAACTTCAAAGCAACATGAAAAAAACATGAAAACAACTTTAATTTGGCCAGAGCACACCCAATCTTCATATAAATTATATTTTCATATCCACGTTATATTTTCCTACCAAGTTTAAATCAACTCACAAAAAATTAAATAAAAAATAAAACGATCACTAGATTCAATAAGACTCACAAATTTGAAATGAGATTTCTCAATGAAGAACGGTGACGCCCATATCGGCCGGCCGCTTGCGAGCATCCCATCCACAGACTCAAGATCTCGATCTTCCAGCCGATGGTTTCGTACTTCCGTATCGTCGGCCATGAGTACTTTGCGAATGCGTCCGCTGTACCGGAAACATTCTTACAGGGATTGAAGAAGCAACGCAAGTCTAGATCTAGATTCGGATAGGTGTACTGGGCGTCAGGCGTCGTACCATGATTGGGATGTGGATTTTATGAAAAATTATTAGAAAATCATATTAGAAAAAATCTATTTCACACAAAAGAAAAAAAAAAGAGAAGAAGAAGGAAAATCAATAGTGCAATTTTGAAAAAAAAAATTAAAATCGTGAATAGAAAAAAAATAAGAAAAAATGGAAAATAAGAAAAGGAGAAGAAGAAGAAGAAGAAAGCAACTTCGTGGAAAAAAAAAAGGAGAAGAAGAAGGAAAATCAATAGCGCAATTTTGAAAAAAAAAAATTAAAATCATGAATAGAAAAAAAAATAAGAAAAAATGGAAGATAAGAAAAAGAGAAGAAGAAGGAAGCAACTTCGTGGAGAGAGAAGGATAAAGGAGAGAGAAAAACCAATCAGTTATCAATTCAAAAAAGAACTTCCAAAAAAGGTGTTATTAGAAACAAAAGAGGTAATTTTGTCTAAATAATAGGTTGGGATAATTATCTAAACTGTTTAAACAAATAGATAGTAGGTAATTTTGTCTAAATAATAGGTTGGGATAATAGGTAATTTTGTCTAAATAATAGGTTGGGATAATAGGTAATTTTGTCTAAATAATAGGCTGATATAGACCTGGAATTGTAGCAGAGCACGCCTCATAATACGTGTAAAAGTCGAAAAATACAGAAGTGGGGGCCCTGCCTCTACATTGGTCCAAGCCCATGCGGCCCACTACTTTTTCTACAATCATACATGAAAAAAGGTACCCTCATAATTTTAAACTAGTACATAGCCCGTGCGATGCACGGGGTGCACAATAAAGTTATTTATCCAGCCTTATAATTATATAAATGAATAAAAAAATGTACATGATATATATAGTACGGGACCGGTGCCGAGACACGGGATATATTTATTTGGGGAATATTATATTATAAGATGCAATATTCAATAAAAGTTTTATATAGTACGCAGGAAAATTATACAAAAAAATAGTATCCGATAAAAAAAACTCATATATTATTAAAGACCTCATTGTACATAGATATTAAATAATTTATTAGTAAAATAGTGTATAAGTTGATTACAATAACAAAACAACATGCTCACGGGATTAGTAAAAATATTCCATGGATTGAAGATTTAATGGGATTAAACATTTAAAATAAAAAAATTTAGATAATTTAAATTAGATAATTCAAAAGCCTTCCAACATTGTTTTCACTTTAATATATTACAGCATGTGCATACTTTAAATATATTAATATTTAAGGAACTTTAAACAACATAATTTTTAAAAAATTATTTTAGGAAACTTTAAACAACATATTTACGCCACTAATAAAACAAATTATATTTCAACATCACAGTTATAGTATTATTTAAGGAACTTGAAACAACATTGTTAAATATTTACGTCCACCCATAAATTTTTTACAAGTCGAAGGTAATTAATCCCGTTCCTTTTTTATTTGTTTGTTTGTTCAATTTTTTTGACAAAACTGATGTCATGGATAAAAAAATTTAATATTAAAGAAATTAATTAAATAATATAAAATAATATGCTTTAGACAGATATAGGATGTGGATAATCCTCTCATAGCAAACAACGCGATTTCAAAATTGGCTCAGATCCAGCAATCCTATCCAATATTTCATATAAATAAATATTAAATAAAATGCTTTAAACAGAAATTAGATAAAGAAATTTGAATCTGCTTTTTTTAGTATAAATAGGCTTTACGTACATTTTTTGATTTCACTGATTATGGTGTTTGTTTTGATTAAATCGATGTTATTATGGAATAAGACAAATAAATAAAGTTGTTTTATTTTATTTTATTTTTTTATTTTCGTAAAGATTTTACGTACTTTTTTTGACTTATCGAATGTTATGGAATTTTTTTTTAAACCTGTTTTTATTTTAGTTAAATTTTTAAAGAATAACCAATATAATTATATTATCTAACCATCAATAAAATCATTTAATGATATGCTCATTATCTTTTAAATGATATATAATATTATTTTTTTAAAAAAATATTAGTTTTATATAATTAAATAAATGTTAAAAAATATTACTCGACAAATATTAATTATAATGGATATCAATTAAATCATTGCATAAATTATTTAAGGAAAATCTTTAATCATAGTTGGATAGTAAATGTAAATATGCAAGCATTTAATGCATATAGTAAAAAATTTCCAAATTAGGTATGCATTAAATGTATGTTGACTTTTCTTGCTACTATTTTTGGTAAATAGGTTGGCTTTTAATATATATATAGATATAGATTTTGAAAATACACATGCGTTATTATTATTATTTTTTATTTATGTCTTTATTGCAATTATTAAATACTCTAGCATTAGATATTAAGTTGAAAAAATGATCTCTCACAATTTCTTTAACAACCAAATACCCTTAGCTTAGATGTAAGAGAATGAGAGCAACACAATTTTATATCTTTAGTTAAAAGAAAAAAAAAAAAGAGAAATAATAAAAATTGAATTTTAAAATATTAGAATTTGAATTTTAAGCATGGAAAATTAGGTTAAAAACGAGTTGTGCGTTTCAAAATTTGAACTTGTCATCAAACGAATCGAAACAAGTCGAACTCACAAACAACATGTTTCGTTTGATAATTCCGTATCATCAGTTGCAGAATTTATTATTTAAATCAAAAATAAAAAAAATAACTGGACAAAAATAAAAAAAAAAGGCTGTCGACCAAAATAAAACAGCCGGATACTGAGAATACGTTTTCAATTTGAAAACGTATTCCGAGGATACGTTTCAAGAAGAAATCGTATTCTCATGTTACGTTTTATGTCGAAAAAAATTTTTAAACACGATTAACTTAATTAAACCGCGATTAAGAAAATTAATGTAAAATAAAACGTACTCTCATAATATGTTTTCAGTGAAACGTATTTTAAGTATACGCTTTAAAAATTAAAACGTATTTTTAATATACGCTTTTTTTTTAAATAATTTTTATATACTATAAATTAAAAAAAAATTAGTAAAATTTATGAATTTTTTTTTTAAATGAAACCGTATTTTCAAATTACGGTTTCTATCCAACAACCGTATTATGACAATACGTTTTCAGTTAGAAAAATTAAAACATAAAACGTATTATGACAATACGTTTTCAGTTAAAAAAAAAAAT